AGTTTGTATTGTATTATATCTTTCAGTATTGATAAAGTGTTATGAAATTTGGAGGTTTGAAATGATATATTTGAAGTTTTAAGTTTGTGGTTTGAGGTTTGGGGTTTAAGGTTTGGGGTTTGAGGTTTTGGTTTAAAGGAATAAACAATAATAGTCCCTAATCAGTCGTAACAAAACCTCTAGTTTACGACCATTTTTTGATATATTGGTCTCCATGTCGTAGTAAAAGGAAGGAGACCCAAAGTATTCGTAACATAACCTCTATTTTATGACCAAATTAATAATATGGTCCCTAGGTCATCGTAAATTTTTGTGAACCTAATGTAGCTGTAACTTAACCTCTACATTACGACCAAACTTAACCTATAAATATGTTACCCTTCCCATTCGAAAATTGCACAAAAAACATAAAAAAACTTGTTTATAAAAATGTTTAAAATATTTGTGATAATATCTTATTCAAATGTTTCCACAGAGATTTATCAAAAGCCTGGGGGTTCCTCTCAAGTAACTGAATATATATGGTAACTTGAGACGAGTCCTCAGGACTCTGATAATTCTCTATGAGACATTTGGCATAAGCATTAAGAGTCGGACGTTCTCATAAACATTAATTTGTTAGATATCTTACGATTTTTGTTAAGTATTGAGTTTTTGGATACTTAATTAAGTTACCGAAAACTCAATTACTTATTTTTTTCGTAAATGAAGTGTCGTCGTAACTGGATTGTAAATAATTAGACCCTAATTGGTCGTAATTGACGTCTGTTGACCTTAACTGGTCGTAATGCAGACGTAAACTAGAGACCCTAAGTGGTCGTAATTTTTTTTGGTTGTAATGTAGTCGTAACGTAGACACACGTTGACCCAAATTAGTCGTAAATTGTGGACCCTAATTGGTCGTAACACTATTTTCGTCGTAATGTCGAATTCAATTACGACGAGAAGAAAATCCCTATATGATCACGCGAGTCGCAAAGTCCATTTCGTTGCTCTTTCCTCTTTCCTCTCTCACTACCCACTACTTTCTCTCTCTAAATGGTATTTTTTTTTTTAAGTTTTAGTTTTAGAATTAGGTGGTTAGTTTAGATTTAGGTGATTAGTTTATGATGAAATTAGATTAGGTTTAAAATTATATTAGATTTACAATAATTAGTATTTGATTATTTTAAATTAATTGTGTCTAACCATAATTTTTTTTATTTGTACAGATCGACGATGCGTCCGGGAGAAAGAGATTAAGAAATCTTTCGGGGGCAACTCGACCTTCTTATGGAGATACATTTCTCGGTTCTTCGGATCCATCAGCTTCTAGCTCTGGCACTGCATCTGCCCGAGAGTTGTCCGAAGACCGAAGAGCAGGGTAGATCATCTTATGTGACTTCTGCTCAGTATGTGCTTCCACCGCAATATGTGCCTCCGCCTCCTCTGTTTGACCATCCTCCATACTATCCTCCGCATGATCGTCCATACGATCCTCATCATGAGACTCCTCCACACCATTGTGACGATCATCATCAGCAGTACGCTGCCCCTCTTCCAGTAGCCCCCGCAGCTGCTCCGCCTCCTGTAGCTCCCCATCCGGATTTTCTTGTACCACCGGATGCTCCTTATGCTAGATTCACTGTGGAAGATCTTCTCCAGATGCCGGGACGAGAAGGTTTACCCATTGTCGATCCAGATCGACGACCCAACACTTTCTGGTAACTTTTGAATTTTTTTTCATTACTAAAATTTTAATTATATATGTTTATTAATCAAATTAATTTATATATATATATATGTAGATCAAATGTATTTTTTATTTTTTTGTAGGTTTCTAACGGTCAATCATCTGGAACGGAGCGTCTCAGACATCATCAAGGTAAACTTCCGGGATCTGCATCCGAACTGAAAGCTTACCCCAGACCACGTTCGAAGGACTTGGTACAAATGCTTTGCGATAAGTTGTAATTATAAAATTTTATTTCTTAATTAAATTAATTTATTTTTAGATTCATTTGATTATTAATTTTTTGATTTTAATTATTTTTTGTAGCAAAAATGGAATTGGTCTATTGCTATCAACGAAAAGATGAAGGAGGGGTTCAACGATAAGGCTAAGGATCGCATGAAGAACATTGTGGGCGATTGGAATGAGAAGTGGAGGGTTCAGAATGATAACGCAAAACCCATCTACATCAGCGACCAAGTTTGGACTGGCTTGAAGGCTTACTGGAATTTGCCTAAGTCAGTTCGAACTTCGATCCGTTGCTCAAAGTCCCGATTGACACGTGATGCTGAGGGTAATTTGCCATCTCCCACCCCCCACACTTCTGGACAGACTCCACACGCCGAGAAAGCCCTAGAAATTGTAAGTAGAACTTTTCTAATTTATAATTTGTTTTTAAATTATTAATAAATTTGTTATTGAATACATGAGTTTAATTTTAAAATTTTTGTAGACTGCTTGGGAAAGGGTACCACCATCTTTTTCCCGACTTTATAAGTTAACGCACCAACATTTTGATGGGACATTTGTGGATCCTCAAGAAAAGAAGATCTACAATGATGTTGAAGCTTGGCTCCAAATGGTCCAGACCCAGTCGTCGCAACAAGGTGAACCTGTCCAGTTAACCACCGTCGAACAAGAAAAAATTTCCGAGGAGGTATATTATTATTCAATTTTAATTATTAATTATAATTAGTTTATATATGTACGACTAACTTAATTTATATTTTTTTCATTGAATGAAGGTTATCCCAAAAAAGAGGATTCGGATGATTGTGATTAGTATGGTGACCGATGTCCCGAGGGCTAGAGCTGAATATGCTGCAAGACTTCATGAAAAGTCTCAGCTCTGGATCGATTTGACGAACGCCAAGCAAATCATTTTGACCCTCCGGACGGACAACCAGACCAACATGAACCACATTAGGGCCATGACTGAGATGTTTGATATTATTGCAGAAACAAACTCAGTCCTTGCACATATGTGGCAATCTAGACGTTCGACCATCAACCCCGATCCAACTCCAGAAGAGCAGGTGAATTCAGAGCAAGGAACCGAGGAGCATAGCTCCCAGTTTTTCAAAAACATTAACCTTAATAATTAACTAGAACTTGACCCGCACCCCCGTGCGGGTGTTTGATTTAACTTATGTTCAACATAAATTCATATACCGCTGGCTCTATAAAAAATTATATATAATTTTATGTTTTGTAATTTACATATAGAATATAATATATTATTTTATAATATAAATGTTTAATAATAATTTTTTATTTGTACATAAAATTATATTAGAAATTTTATAACTTGAAGCAATTTGATATAATTATACTATTCATATAATTAACATGTTATTTTTTGTTAATTTATTTTAAAATGATTTAACATACTAAAAATATTTTTTTGCATTAGTTTTCTATGAATTATCATTAATTTTATGATTTTTTTCTTGAAAACTGAACTCTTGAAATTTTATATTTGACTAAATTAAATAAGGTAATACTATATTTAAAAATTAATTTGTATAATATATACTATATATTCTGTTTGTGTTTTAATTTTCACCCAAAAGAAAGAAAATCATTGTAATTAATTAATTTATATTGATTTTAAATGTAATGGCAGAATCTATAATTAAAAAATATACAAAAGGAAGTTATTTAATTTATTGTAAATGGAATGGCTAAATATGCAAATAAAAAGAAATACTTAATATGCTATCCATGTTTTCTAAATATTCTCATTAATCCTACTATCCTTATTTCCAAACAGAACTAAAAGGTACTTCAGTTTTTATAATATAGATTTTTTTTGTGTTTTGATATATTATGCTTTTGAATTTATTAAGTTAATGTTCTTTTTATATTTTACAAATGAAGGATTTTATAAATATTTAAATTTTAGAATTATAAATTTTTCATTTTTAATTTTAAAATTTATAAATATAAAATTATACCCTTGGATGTAAAGTGGTCGTAATGGATTATAGATTTTCGAAGTAAATTGATTGTAATCATTTTCGAGGTAAGTGGTCGTAACATTTACGACCACATTACAACTGTAGAAGATGTTATTTTTTCGTAAATATGACAACTCATTAAATTCCCGTTTAGATCTAATTGGTGCTTCTATTTTACAACCACAGTTTACGATTAATGCACGTGCACATATTTGGACGTAACTTTACGTCAAATCAACCTCTATGTTACGACTACGCGCTTTACAACTGCTTTACGACTAAATATTTTGGTCGTACACTTTACTTTATGTTTATTTTACGACGATTTGTGAATTACGATGGACTCCTAACGACCATTTGTGTTTCGTCGTTATTTAGTTGTAATTAATGATTTACGACCAAATAACTACCAAATGTGCAGTCGTTATGTCTATGTTTTCTTATAGTGATATATTCAACCACACACAAACATTTTTTTCCCACAAACTATTAGTTCACAATTTTTAAATATATATCTATTTATATATATATATATACATCTTTATTATTTTTGATTTTAAGTTAAAATTGTGTGGTACATCACTTCATTTTATGTAGATTTTATATTTTAATAAGTGTCAAACTGTGCTTCTAAGTAAAAGAGACTTTCACAACCCCACAATATTACCTCTATTTTGAATTTGATTGATAATATTCTTTTTTAATTGTGGAAAACAATAATTTTTTGAGTGCTTCAATTATTCTTCATAATGGTTAGGTACTTCGAATTATTAAGAAATTCAATAAAGTAAAAGAAAGAAAGAGAAAAATGAGAAAGCGGTATTGCAAAACAAATAAAGAAGAAGCCAATAGATTCTTCTCTTCACTTTTCTTTTCTTAAAGCTTTGCTGCTTTCCTAACCTTTTTCTCTCTAAACCAGAAATAAACCTGTCCTTCTACTCCTATAAAAGTGAACTCCATTTCCTCTCGAAACTCCTCCACACCAAACCTCTCTCTATCTCCCTCTCTTCTTATTTCAAAGACAAATAAATTATAAAATAAACAAGAAAATGGAGAGTTCGACAAGAAAGCCTTATTTCATAGAAGAAGAAGACGATGGATTGGTTTCTCTAGCTGAGATGGAAGCTGGAGTTGCGACTCCTTTTTCTTGTTACAAAAACATCAACCAGTACCATCCTCAGAGTTATTATTATAATTACCATCAGTACTCTGTTTCATCACCCAGATCTGTTGTTGCCTCTGGAAAATTCCATGATTTTAGATTCGATAACAGCTATTTAGGACAACAATCAGCTCCTCATTTCTTGGACTCTTGTTTCCTCTGCAAGAAGCGTCTTGGTAATAACAAAGACATCTTCATGTACAGGTACAAATCTTTCTTTCTTTTAAATCTTTATATTAGTATACTTTAGCTTAGGTTGTGATCTTTTTGTCAACAACAGAAGAAACCCTAATTCTGATTTTTGATGTTCGGTAATAACAGAGGAGACACACCGTTCTGTAGTGAGGAGTGTAGAGAAGAACAAATAAATAGAGACGAAGCTAAAGAGAAGAAAAATAATCTGTCTTCATCAGTGAAAGCCATGAGAAGAAACGAAAAGAGAAGCTCTTCTTCTTCTCCAACTAGATCTCGTGACTATGCTTTCCACACTGGAACTGTTGCTGCTGCTTAGTTTCAATATCTATTTAGTTAATATTCCAAGGCAAAACAAAAACCAAGATAATCCATTAAAACCAGTTGCTGTAAAAGTTGGTTAATGGTTTGAATTTTTATCTCTTTTTCAAGGGTTTGTCCTTTTTCGTTATTAGTATTAGATTTTATTTTACATAAAGAAAAAAAATCATGCAATTTTGGGAGCACAAGAAAACTGTGGCCAAACGTTTGCCTATGTGAATTTGGTAAATCTTTTTCTCTGTTAGTATGTGAAGAAAACAAAAATATATGTAAATATGAACATCATCATCTTCCTGGCTGTTCTTTTATTTATAAATGATGGGATTGTAATGAAATAAACAAGATTTATATTTATAAATACATATGCGATAATAACTTATATATTGTTTAATATTCGTTATTCAATTGACATGTGATACAGTTATCAATCGAAATAAAATTTGATGTAGTGGAATCAAATCTGATTAGGAGTAGGTTTGATGTCATAACTCGAAAGAATAATATTAATGATGTATTATTAGACAGTTTGTTTCTGCCCATGTTCTGTGAGATCATTTGTGCAGTACCTTTTTGTTTTGTTTTCATTTTATTGAAATTGAAGTACAATTAGTTATAAGAAGCAGTAGTACAATTTCTTTTTCAGAAAGAAAAATTTAAGGTTAATAAGCTTTTCATTTCCTGCCTTACAGAGTCACAAACGTAGTCTTCTATTAACCACAAATTCTTTTTCACAATCATCCGTTGTATTCTCTTCTTGCAGTCTTAAAATGTCTTATGTCGTCTCACATCAGATCACAATCACATTCACATGATGTTAGGTTATTCAGATGTGAAGGGGGTTGTCTTGTATCACGGGTCTGTTACTTGGAACACCTCTCTTATCAGATGTGAAGGAAACGCAGCTGTTGATTTGTGTTAATGGGCTTATAACATTACTACTTGGGCCTTTTCTCACACTTCATATTAATGCGCATTAACAAATATTATCTTGTTTTAAAAATTAAGGCAGAGAAAACCATAATTATTCTCATAAGTTCAAAAGTCAAAACCCCTTTTATCAACTCGCCAACAGAACTCATATTTTCGGATTCCTCGATTATTTTCCTAAGACTGTAACATTTTGACTGTTCACGGTTAGGGATGGTAATCAAAGACCTGGACCGCGAGCCTATCCCGTAAAAGCTTGCTGCAGAGTGGGATTAGGTCTTCATTTGATAAGCCCGCAAAATTGTGGGCCTCGCTGGACAGGCTCAAAATGGGACGGGCCGAATGCGGGACGGGCTCAAAACGGGACGGTCCGAAAGCGGGACAGGTTAACCCGCAGGATTTTGAAGACCAGCAACTATAAGTCCCCATTTCTGTTTGGTTTTGTTTTCAGTACTATAAATTGTCTTATTACTATGTGGAATTTTCTTGTTTTAGTTGATGAGTTTTGTTTTCAGTATTGCCAAGTGGTGTTTTAAAAAAAAAATTAAATTTTGTTACAATGCTGTTAAAGAGTTACTGCTTGTGAAGAGCTACTGTTTGTTCTTTAAACAGCTCGAAATGAGAGTTTGGGTTACTGCAGAATCTTGTCTTTACACTCTAAGTTCAACAGCTTAGTTGAAAGAGAAGAAAAAACCATTAGTATTAAGTTATTGTTGCTATAAAGAGACGTTGCTTTACAAAGAATCAAACAAGGAATACAGTGAAACCTCTATAAATTAATAATGTTGGGACTACACCAAAACGAAAATTTTTATTAATTTATAGATATTATTAATTTATCGAGATATTAATTGAACCAAAAATTCAATTTGGGACTATAAAATTATATTAATTTATAGAGATATTAGTTTATCGATTATTAATTTAAAGAGGTTATACTAGAGTTAAATTTTACTGTCCAAATGGCTCTCACTTACTTCAAGACCATTAAACCAGCGAGTGATCACATTGGATGTTGTTACGATCGATGTTGTTCAGCTCTCTTCAACTTCTTTACTCAACTCTTCTACTTTAACATTCATGAAGGAAGCTGAAGGAGACGTCCCGCAGGACGGCCCGCGAAGGCTTATACATTATGCGGTACGTGATTGGGTAGCCATTCGGAAGACCGCAGCCCGCGCGGGACAGGCCCGCCGTGACCCGCTCGACGATGACCCCGCTGCGGTACGGGACGGGAAAGCCCAATTTCCATCTCTATTCACGGTTAATGGGCAACCCACACCCGCTCACTCGACCGATAGATTCGATCCCGTTCTAAAGGTCGGTCCGTTAATTTTTCAATCTAGAATCATGTTTACTGACCATGCAATCACCACATGACTTTTTACCATGCTTTGGCCTCATTTACACGGTATCGCAAATTACTTCCCAATAGGGAACCCATCATTTGACTACTCCAGTTCAAACACGCTTAACTCTAGAGTTCTCTTTAGATGTGCTCTCGAAAAGGTAAGTGCACTTTGGTGACATAAATAGCCAAATCAATCCTCTGAAGCCTTTCTATCTATCACAACTTACAATGTTACAATTCACCCTCTCTCAAAGAATGCAACGTCCTCGTTGCGCTCCACGACAGGTCTCAAGACGCCTCTCTGATCAGAACTGAGATGGCTAACCAACTCTGATACCACTTGTAACGTCCCGACCGCCCACGGCTAATTGACCATCCCCGCCCGCTCACTCGGCCCGTGGATCTCATCCCGTTCCAACGTCCAGTCCGTTAATTTTCCAAGGCTGTAGAGTCATATTTACTGACATTGCTTTGGCCTCACATACACGGTATCACAAATAACTCCCGATAAGTCATTCATTCTTTAACTACTCCAGCTCAAGCACGCTTAACTCTAGAGATCTCTCTGGATGTGCTCCCGAAAATATAAATGCACTTTGGTGACATAGATAGCCAAATCAACCCTCTTAAGCCTTTCTATATATCACAACTCGGAATGTTACAAAAACTTTCAACGACAAAAGTCATGTTGGGTCTCTCTTTATCGTTCTTCTTCATATAATGATCAACCAATTTAACCACTCTCATGACGATAACAACTGAATATTTTCTTCGTAACTTCGAGTCGATGATCATTCTAAAGCTTTTGCTGTTAATAGGATATAGTGTGACCCATTCTGCAAGATTTTTTTAGCCAAAAGTTTCATTCGTTTTATTGTGCAACGACCAGTGATGATCTCGTACAAAACAACAAAGCCATCGCTATCCGTCTGAGATGGCCGGTTTCTATGTATGCTGGAGGCTGGAGCTGCATAGCCTTTATTCCGACTCTCTTTTTGAAGATACAACAATATTTTTTGATTTAAGTTGTTACTTGTGGAAGAAGCAATTGTTAATAATATATCAAGTTTGTAAACGAGATATGAGAAATGTTACTGCAGTTGTAACGTGAGTTTTGTCTCCCTTAAGACCATCTCTAACAAAACCAAAGGCCGATAATTTCGGATTAAAGTCATCATCCAAAAACACATTTAATGATTTGAAGTTTCTGTGTATTCTTTGTTTAAACAAGATTTTTTGTTGATCTAAAAATCACATAAATATCATATGGAAATAATATTATATGCAAATACATTCCAGCATCGCCAGAGACAGAAAACAGACACGTGGCAACACATGACTGGTCTGAACCACTTCTGTGGACCAGAGTACCTCTGTATAATTCAAAAAAAAAAATCATATGCAAATAAAGCGAATCCTTGAGCTGCACCGATCATGATCTTCTTTTTTCCAAGCCTAACGTTGGGGTACTAGGAGTGAAGAGATGATCCTCTAAGCCATTGCTTGTAGTGACGCTTTCATTACAAACAAAATGATAAATATAATATTCGAAGATCAACCCATTTTCTTGGACGACGCTCGAATCTTTCAACAAATTTGATCGTAAAAGCCATAACTGAAGTTGTACAGTATATATATGTATCTGTTGACTTCGTTGATTGAGTTTATTGAAGGCCACGGTAAGTGGTGAATGAGACTCCTCCGGTGGAAGTGCTACTGGTGGCTTTACACATAAGTAATCATGAGCTCGCAGGAACACACTTACACACCTATTCAAACATTGAAGAAAGCCTTCTTGGTCAACGGCCAGAGAAAGTGATAGCTCCTTATAAAGGCCTCAACGTGGCCCGTGGATTATTTTGGCCCAATGTCCTTTTTGGAACAAATGTTGGTCGAATGGAACTGAGATCAAAAGACGCAAACAAACATGAATGTCTCACTAAAATCTGAAATTGATAGGTTTTGATACAAAGCAAAAACTGAATGTAAACTGAGGTAAAACCAAAGAGAAGAAAAAAGGGTAATGTATTACAATTGTTAATGTGGGATTTTACTTGCAGCTAATGTAGTAGTCTAAACCTAGTAAGGACCACACAAAAACAATACAGAGACAGACTAGTTTCCAGCTTCCTGATACAAATATGCTTTTCCTTTGTTGTTTACACAAGTCTCTCCTGCTTTCTCAAAACGCATGATGCTCTTTGTCCCTGCTCCATCACGGCTTGTGTAACTTAAACCCAAACACTCTTGGCACATAGCTTTGTGATGCCTTTTGCGGTTTCAGATGTCCGTAAGTCATCAGGAACAGATGTGGAAACGTTGTCCCAAAGTATGCTCCATCTATGTCTGTTTTTGTTTTTAAGTTAAAAAACAACATACACAAAGATTGCAGCAAAAATATATATATGAATTTATCTAATGAGTATCAAAGCCAAACCAGACTACTCTTTATAAAGCAAGTTAAGTAAAAAAAAGGATACTTCCTTGGTATTTTGATCGTGGATAATAGACGTCTTCACATTTGGGGCAATATATCTTTACAGTGCTTGCTCGAGGGATATCAGATTGCCCAACCGGTAAACAAGGCTGCCCACAACAATATACTCTTGGGCATCTTCCAAAGTCATAATTTTTGTATTTGTCCAACTGTCAAAATCATTGGCAATAGGTAAAGGACCAAAACATTTAGGGTTATATTATAAGATGATCATTTCAAGTATGAAGCTTGAGTAAACAAAAAAAAAAAGAAAGAAGAGTGTTTGTTTACCATAGAAGCAAGGCCTTTGGTGGTCAAAATGTAACGAGCATGAATCATTCCATACAACATCTCTGCAGCTGACTCGATCAACTCATTCTGTTCCTCTGTAAACATCTCACCTATTACCCATCAATAATCCAACTCAAACACTGAAAAACCAACGCCATGAAAACAACATAACAAAATCATTCAGACTTACCATGAGAAGAGTCAACATCCAAAATCAAATCAAGGGCATAGTCGTAATAAGGAACTTGATGGCTGAGACCACACAAGTTAAAGTCATCCTGGATGTAATCATCATCAACCTCGCAGAAGAACTCGTTCCCACGGAGGTTGCAAAACCATGATATCCATGACGTGTCCTCCCCTTCAGACCCACTCACCTCTGATTCCTCGCTGTCTGTCTCTGATATATCCACAGCTAATAAAAACACACATAAATCAGGAACAACAAAAGCGGCCTTTTCAGATTAACAAACAATCCCAAATTGAGAAACCCTAGGTACGAATTGAACAAATTCATAATAACGAATCTCACCGTCGGAGATGGTGGTCTTGGAGAGAGACTCAGAACGTGAATCTCTCTGGTCGTGCAACTGCTTCCCTATCATGACGGAGTTCGATGCTGCCTTGCCCTTTCCATTGGCTCGATTATTATCGTGAACCTCGTTTATGCGTTTCCGATCCACCACCTCCGACTTCGATCCAACCGCTCCTCTCTCTCTGTACATGATTTTATACAACTTCCGGGACCGTCACCGGAGATCCACGAAAAAGGGATACGAGCTTCACGATCTCTAGGGTTTCGAAACGGAGCTTCTCGTCTCGCGTATATCTGACAACTAGTCTCTTGGTGGAACATACACAGATAAGAAACAAAAATAAGAATAAAAGAAATAAACAAGGGCAAAACGGGTAAGTAATTAATGAAATTATGTTCTCCGGTGGAGCGGGGCGGTAATTCGTCGTTAGCCACCGATAGAGAGAAAGAGAGAGGAGAGACACGTGATGCTCACGAGGTACGACTAATAAGGCTTGGACCGACTTAAACAGGCCCGGCCCAAGTTATATTCATTATTCGTTTTGCAAGAACAACTTTAAACCAAAATTAAAATAAAATCTTCACTGTTTAAGTTACAAAGAGAAATACAAAAATCAAAACTTTCATTCATAAGAATTTTGATCTTCAACGCTATAAAGACTCAACTAAGAGAGTTTTACTGAGGTGGGGGTGGTGATGAAGGATGTTGAAGAAGGTGAACATGGTTAGTGATGGCGTCAGGACATGATTGAGCTTGCAGAAGCTCTAGCCTCATGAATGGATGTACGAACTGTAGTGTGTAATCTTCATCTGCAAAAGGAAAAGCCAAAAATATTGGTCTTCCATCACTTATAGGCACATATAAGAGATTATCGGAGGAGCTTACTCTCTTTCACAGTGCCGTATAGCCAGCAAAGAACCTCATCAGCAAATGCCAAGCACACTGCTCCCTAGCTCCCCCAAAAACTCAATTGTGTTTAGATTAACCAGATCATAATTTAACTATGTATATAAAATCAGAATTTAGTTATATAACACTGACATTCCAATAGTTCTTCAATCTGGCTCTGTGTGCGATATCTTTGGTTCTCAGTCTTTCTGTTCGTACTAGTCTCCCTCCATCATCTCTACACCCAAGTTTAAAAGAAAAAAGAAAAAAAGGAAATGAAAATGTTTACTTTGAAGAATCTCAAAAAAGGAGATAACTTATACCTATATCCAACGAGAATGTATGGGACTCCTGCTACAAATGATTGTATCTGAAGCAATACACCAGTTTTCTCATAGTTACTACTAAGAATCCACAAGAAAGGAGAAAACAAAGAATATATGCATGCAATTCGTGAGACACCAATGCTTAGTACCTACCCAGAACTTAAGAAGTTTCTCTCTCTCATATCTCTCTACGGTACGATCATCCAACTACACAGAGAGTAAACAGTATGGAAAGTTACAGGCAATGAAAAGAAGCTGAAAATAACAAAGGAGCTTTAAAGGGAAAAAACACTTAGAATGAAGAGGCATCCATACCTCGCGAGTAGTTTTCAACTCTATATAAATCCTCCTTCCTTCATCAGTTTCATCGCAGCAATCCATTTCAGCACCCATCAGAACACGGTGAGCTCCGAGTTTAGTCTTGACAACTGAACAGAACTCAACATTTGCATCCACATGATGTATTTCTTCCCCATATGCTCTTCCTGGATCTTCCGTTGCAAGGCTTTCGAAACAATAACCCCAGTAACATCTGAATTGTAATATAGATAGCATCGTTTAGATTATAGTAGCAAATACACTCTTCTTCTGCCCAAAATTTATGAACCACTGCTTACTATTAAACCTTGAAGATTGATTACCTGCGGCGATCTAAGTCACTCTGTGGCCTTTCAGGCAGTTTATGCACATCTAGATATATGGTTCCATTCCTCTTATGCACACCCATTTCCCATGGCTCATGCCGATTGTAAGCAGCAGCAAGTATCTGAGAGAGAGAGAGAGATAAAACAAAGCAAAGCCAGTGTGAGTTATCAAAGAGTTCAATGCATACTCATTTCTTGTTCAGTACAATAATACCAAAGAACAAAGTAAAATAAAGGTTGAGGTCCTTGAGGATCTTATGTACCTTGTTCAGATTATTACGGAATGTCTGTTCAAAAATAAGCACAAGAAAGACAACCTTGATGAGAAATCTCTTCAAGGTAATGAATTTGACAGTTAAATGGACTGATACACAAGACTTCATACCACAAAATGAATGTTCTCCAGCGAAATGTTTTTTGCTCTAATGCTGCCAAGTAGGTCACCAAAGCCCTCAGAGCCCAGATCTGGCTCAACAGGGAAAACAATCAGCTTAATACCTGAAACTTCGACATCTTGCACATGATCTAAGGGTAATATAATTGTACCAAACTAATCCATTACCTATTTTCTCAATAAAAGTATCATAACCCTGATTTAAATCCGCTCCAATGTCTTCAGAAACATGACGCTTGAAAAGCCTCTGGAAAACAAGAACAAAGTGGACATAAATAAGCTGCAGATGATTTAAGCATTTACATATATACTCCCATCAACTAGATAGTTAAATAGAAAAAGAATACCAATAAGCACTCACCAATCCTCGCTCATCATAGCACACTTCTCCACCTTCTACACGACTGTAGCTAGTAAGCTCACATGGCTGCCAATATCAAACATAATGAAACATGTTAGCCAAATGGACTCTGCCTTTAATAATCTAAAAAAGTGTTCCTTCATAAACGTTACCTCCTGAAAGACGGTAGATTTCCTAGACAAAGTTTCTTTACTCTTGGAAAGTTTAAGCTCAGAAACAAAACGCTCATCACGCTGATAATTCTGGTATCTGCCACCACCACGTCCTCCAGGGAAAGGACCAGGACGAGGAAGAAGCCCGGGTCCTCCTCTCCCATTAGGCCAACGCCCACCACGTCCCATTCCTCTTCTCCCACCATGGTTGTCATTGCTCCATCCCGCAGGCGGCAAAACTGTCATAATAAACAACTCCAAGACTCAGAACTATTTACAACTATTTAATCTACTCTTTCAAAAAGAAAAAGATTGGAACTTGCCAGGAATAGAGTAAGTGCTTAAAGCAGGTGTCTTTGTGTACTCTTCATTATCAGACCCAAAAAGATCCTTCTCCTCTTCTTCTTCTTCATCTTCTTCTTCGTTGTTGTTGTAAGCAGCGTAAACTCTACCTTCTCCATTATCATTGCTCCTATAGCTATCTACTCCATCATCTCCTCCCTCCTCTTTCTCGCCGCTGCTTCGGCTACCGCTCGAGCTGCTGGAATCAGCACCACCACGATCTCCGTCTCCGCCTTTGGAGGAAGAAGCCCCCGAAGACGAAGCTGAACCGGACGAGGAGGAGGAAGAACCGGAAGAGTTGGAGGATTTCGAACGTGAGGATTTCGAATGCGAAGATCGAGAGTCGTTGTCGGAATCGTCTCCGAACAAATCATCAATTGGGTTTATCTTCGGAGGTAAATCCATGACGAAAAAGGTTTTGGCTTTGCGTTAGGGTTTCTCTCTATTGGCTCCTTCCCGTTGCAGAGCTTCCGATTGGAAAGTACGACCCCGTGAGTTTCACGAGTTAACTCGGTTTTGGTGACTCTATTGAGCTTTGGGCTTTCAATGTAACATGTGGAAACGAATCTGGTCCATTTAGCTACTACTATTTATTTAACACAGGCCAAAAAAATATCATGTACAAAACCTTGCAACTTGTGGAAGCACTAGTGGTCTAGTGGTCAATGATTTAAAAGTTTCTACATTAGATTTGGGGTTAGAACATTAGACTATGCAATTCCAAAGTTTCTATCCCAGAAAAAGTGAATTATACAGAAAATGGAAGAGAAGGTTTACAAGAGATTTCAGCATGATGCAAGAAGTACTGTCAGGAATAGATCTCAAAGGACAACTCAGTCTGATGCAATCAGATGTGAATCCGTATAAGGCTTACAAGAGAGTTCAGCATAACGCAAGAAGTACTGTCATGAATGGATCTCAAAGGACAGCTCAGAGTGATGCAGTCAGACGTGAATCCGTATAAGGCATGTAAAATTATCGGCTGTCATATCGTTTATATAATGTTTCTCATAATTTGTAATATCATAATTAACCAAAAAAAAATAAAACCTTCGAACTTACGCTAACTTCAGAAATATTTGCATGCAAGTCCTTGAACTATTCATCAAATAAGCTTAGGCAATTTTCTTGTTTGGAAACACGTTAGACGTTAGTTGAACGGCTATGTTAGGTTTAATGCCGAATTGACTAATCGGGAATTAAGCAGAGATTACACATAGAAGATTTTCTTAATATTTATTTATATATGGTAATATATAATGAATATATGAAAAGCTACAAACCAGATTTCATAGCTTGATGGTTAGTTCCTTATGTACAGTTTTGTAGGTCACATCTTCTACTAGAAAATTTATTAGTTTTATTCGATTTTTGCAATTTTCATTGAATGAAAGAAAATAACATTTTTACCCTCGTCTTCAACTTCAACTTTGCGATTTCCAAATCTGAAAAGTCGCGTTTTACATTTTTCTTCAACGATTTCACAGATTTTGTTAACTGATTCTTATTAATTTTGTCTAAATATAGTAGATTTAATGCATAATTCATGGTTTAATAGTTAAGATTTGATTTATTCACCTTTTTTTTATCCACCGCCTAGACTAACCGACTATGACCTCCTCGCTACGGTACTCTTCCGATTACCGTTTAACTGGCCGAGAACACGGCCAAGCGAGCGTCTTTTCACACAGGGGGGAAATTTATATAAAATTAAAAATTTGCATTACACTTAAGACATCCGTGTATCCAATCACATTTAGTGTGGTGTGGGAACCAAAATTTACACCGTCGATTTCAAAAATAAGGAAACTTAGAAAAACTCTAATTTTCCAGAGGACCCGGATCTTTGCGAGAGCCAACAACAAGTAACCAAATAAATACGAAAATATGAAAAACATGATAAAATGAATTCATAAAGAAAGTTGATCTTATTTCGAATTCGCGTAAGAGCGTTGCAATCTTTACAAGAGATTACAAAAGCTTTGGCCGCAGAGGCCATCAGCGAGTTATCAACATAAAACCCTAAACCTAGTCGAGTCGCAGCTCGATAACAAAAGACGAAAAAAGATAAGAAAAAGAGAGTTTGACTAATTTCAGATTGAACCTTATGAAAGACTGTCTACGTACCCCTTTCGAGGATCAAGTCGAACGTAGTTCAATTGGTAGAGCTGGAAAAGAGATTGAAATGCCTAGGCAAGTTCTTCTAGTGATTGAGTGCCAGTCATATGAACCGAACTTGCCGAGAAATAAGCCTAAGTTTCTAAGTGCAGAGAGTTCTGAGTCTAAAAGAGTTGTGAAAAATTGTCCCCTTCTTATGTCCTTGACCTTCTACTTATAAACACCCTCCTTAAGCAGTTTATTCCTTCCTTTTCGCCCAGATTCGAGTTTATCGGGAATCTTCCATTTATCTCGATCTTTCCATTTTTCCTGCGGAAATCTTCTATTTATCTTCAAACTTGACATTTACCTTCAAATTTGACATTTATCTTCTTTCTGCGAGTAAATCGTCAAACCATCTTTGTATCTTTGGGCTGGAATTCGTTTAAAGTCGTGAGTGGGCTTTTATCGTGTTTTAGGACTTTCCGAGCTGTTTTGCGATAAAAATCGTTCTAGGATTTTAGACAAGATCGTTTCCTGATACGATGCCGTTTTCATAAGATTTCTCGAGTTAATCGTATAGTTTGACAATGTACGATGTTCCGTCGAATCGTTTCCGTTTTATACGGTCTTCCCAAATTCTTACGAGAAAAGAAGATTTTTACGATTTTTATCGTAAAACTCGAATGGTAAGACAGATCAGGATGAAACGAGAGATGTTTCGACCATGGTTCAGAACACGATCAACCCGAAGGACGTATGCCTTGCGTTAAGGATGCGGGGGGAGCAAGGCTCAGGATGGTCAGCTCGACGTATGGCGAGCCGAACCGGGTTGGTTCAGCTCGCCGTACGGCAAGCTGGTCCGGGACAGACCAGTTCGCCGTACGGTGAGCTTAACCGGCTGGGTCGGCTCGTCGTACATTGAACTGGTTCAGTCGAACCTGCTCGTGATTTACGGCGGATGCGGTTTTTGAGGTTTTTTGCTAACTTAGGCAACCGTGTAATCGGAGGTTGTTTTGTTCGTTTTTCCGAGATGACAATTTCTAAGTTTTCCGCGGATTTCCTTTGTTCGGAAAGTCCTTAGAATTTTATAAAACAACTTCTCATGTTTTAGAAAAACTTATTTTTATTTTTGCGGAGACTTTTAGCCATTGATTCCGTCTTGACCGATTTTGACACTAACAGTTAGCCCCTTAGCTCGCTAGAACCTTGAACCTCTAGCGTGAGGTTCTTGCGAGTGGTTAGCCAGTTTTAGGTAAGTTAGGCGGAATTAATGGTCGGAAATGTCCGTTGAAAGTGATATTTCCACTCTCCTGGGAGCGGAAAGCGTTTAAGATTAGTGCTGCACCTTGTGAAGGCTGCCTATGTACCCTATTGAAGGGATCAAGCCTTTTGTAGTTCGTCGTGGAGTTAAGGATCGTATGACCTGTTTCCCAGTGAGACCTTTATAGTCTAGTTATTTGTATTGGACCTTTGTCGGTCTTGAGACTAGCTTAGTATGCTGTTTGCTTTGGCCGAGTGTGGCCGTTATAGTTTTCGGACTTGCCGTGTGTGGCTCTGAGTCCCTGCCCCTTTGCGGCTTTATTGTAAATCAGTTTGCGTTTTTAAGAGCGTGTTTTTATTCGTACGAATGTAGAGGGAAGAATATGAGTTGTCATCTCATAGTCTAACTCTTTTTGTAGATCGCCCTATTTGTTTGCCCGTTCGGGAACTTTTCAAAATTCGGTGTGCGTTTAGATTTGAACGAAGATACATGCCTTTAGGATCTCAAATCATGCATTGAGACGTTAGAGACCAATGTGCTAGGTTTAGGACAATACCTAGGTTTACTTCCGGATTGAGGCTATGCGATGACTAGTCGGCTTTCGTCTTGCCTGTTGCGATTTTAACCTGATTCCATACCGATTTAGAGTCCGCGATAGGTTCTCAGCTTATACGACTCGTCTGGTTGGAATCAAGCATCTCACCGGGGACAATTTTTAGCCTTCCGGAAATGCTGACCAAAAGTTTGGATTTCTTTTATAGCGCTATTACCTTTGTGTCGGGTGTTTAGGACTGTTGTGAGTTTGTTGTGATCAGCAACAAACTTGGTGGTAGATGCTACTGTTGTTTGGGCCTTCGCGAAGGATACATATCTTAAGAAGTTTTGTATGTTTTATAGATGTGGATGGACTGTTGGGTCTTCCAAGAAAGTGATTTTATCGAGGATGGTATTTGTGTAAAAAAAAAACTATTCTTCGGGCGTCTGCGACGTCTCGTAGGGCCGAAGATTGGTTTTTATTTTATATGTTGCATTTCGTGTTAGAAACGTTTTCGGGCTCGAAGATGTTGCGCGGTGTTGCGAGGGTTTTGTCTGAAGCCTGCTTTGGAAATAGAGTGAATCGAGAGAATGTAAAACTTAGTTGGTTTTTTGATAAGTTTACATCGTCCGTTGAATGTTTTGGCTTTGCGTGAAGGTTGTATTCAGTCGCATAGCCAAGTATGTCTATGGTCGTAAAAATCGTTTTTCCATTTTTAGGTTTGATTTATACGATGAAAGTTTTGTATAATCTTTCATTTGTTTGTATGGAAGTCGTTTTCTTTTTTTTTTCCGAGGGAGACGAAGCTTAAGAAGCTCGGTGCCGAGCCCATGCGAAGTCAGTTGCGGGATGGTTTCATTCCGGATGTAATCGAGAGGAATGAGATCAGATTCTCGTGAACCGCATGGCTAAAGAATGAGATCATGATGCGAGGAAACAAAGTTCTGATTGGTCGTCCAGTGTCGGATCGTATAACTTGGTTTTTCCTATAAGGAAAGTATTTTTCGCAAAACTTGTTACGTTTATTTTAGAAAGTTGCTTCGTTATGACATGATCCTGAATATCGAAGGAATTTTCGCATAAGTAACGGGCGATGATTATCACCCGGGTGATGATTTTAGTAAATCGACAAGACACGTGGAGATAACAATGTTTCCACAGATTTTCGAGAAGATTTTTCCGCTTAGTCGG